CTAATGGTGGGGCGCTATAAGGGTGGGGCGCTATAAGGGTTGGGGCGGTCTAAGGGTGTGGGCACTGTAAGGGTGGGGTGGTATAAGGGTTGGGGCGGTCTAAGGGTGGAGGCACTGTAAGGGTGGGGCGCTATAAGGGTGGGGTGCTCTAAGGGTGGGGTGCTATAAGGGTGGGGGCGCTATAAGGGTGGGGGCGGTCTAAGGGTGGAGGCACTGTAAGGGTGGGGGCGCTCTAAGGGTGGGGCGCTATAAGGGTTGGGGCGGTCTAAGGGTGGGGTGCTATAAGGGTGGGGGCGCTATAAGGGTGGAGACACTGTAAGGGTGGGGGCACTGTAAGGGTGGGGCGCTCTAAGGGTGGGTTGCTATAAGGGTGGGGGCACTGTAAGGGTGGGGCGCTATAAGGGTGGAGACACTGTAAGGGTGGGGGGCTCTAAGGGTGGGGGCGCTATAAGGGTGGGGCGCTATAAGGGTGGAGACACTGTAAGGGTGGGGCGCTCTAAGGGTGGGTTGCTATAAGGGTGGGGGCACTGTAAGGGTGGGGCGCTATAAGGGTGGGGGCGCTATAAGGGTGGAGACACTGTAAGGGTGGGGCGCTCTAAGGGTGGGTTGCTATAAGGGTGGGGGCACTGTAAGGGTGGGGCGCTATAAGGGTGGAGACACTGTAAGGGTGGGGGGCTCTAAGGGTGGGGGCGCTATAAGGGTGGGGCGCTATAAGGGTGGGGCGCTCTAAGGGTGGGGGCGCTATAAGGGTGGGGCGCTATAAGGGTGGGGCGCTATAAGGGTGGGGCGCTATAAGGGTGGGGCGCTATAAGGGTGGAGACACTGTAAGGGTGGGGCGCTCTAAGGGTGGGTAGCTATAAGGGTGGGGGCACTGTAAGGGTGGGGCGCTCTAAGGGTGGGTTGCTATAAGGGTGGGGGCACTGTAAGGGTGGGGCGCTATAAGGGTGGAGACACTGTAAGGGTGGGGCGCTCTAAGGGTGGGTTGCTATAAGGGTGGGGGCACTCTAAGGGTGGGGGCGCTATAAGGGTGGGGGCGCTATAAGGGTGGAGACACTGTAAGGGTGGGGTGCTCTAAGGGTGGGTTGCTATAAGGGTGGGGGCACTGTAAGGGTGGGGCGCTATAAGGGTGGAGACACTGTAAGGGTGGGGGGCTCTAAGGGTGGGGCGCTATAAGGGTGGGGCGCTATAAGGGTGGGGCGCTCTAAGGGTGGGGGCGCTATAAGGGTGGGGCGCTCTAAGGGTGGAGGCGCTATAAGGGTGGGGCGCTATAAGGGTGGAGACACTGTAAGGGTGGGGGGCTCTAAGGGTGGGGCGCTCTAAGGGTGGAGGCGCTCTAAGGGTGGAGGCACTGTAAGGGTGGGGGGCGCTCTAAGGGTGGGGGCGCTGTAAGGGTGGGGGCGCTCTAAGGGTGGGGGCGCTGTAAGGGTGGGGGCGCTGTAAGGGTGGGGGCTGATGGAGCTACAGTTTCTCCACCTGAACTCTTTGATCAGGTTTCTGTATTTTCCTAAAATGAGCTCCAACATCAATTTATTGAATGTTTTCTATTGTTGAAAACACAAGAGAACCAGAATAAACTGATATTAATATTTATAGATGTTAGAGAGACGCCTTTCACTGCGTTATATATCTATATATATATATCTATAGGGCCCAAAAACATTCATGTTTAAATATAAAATTAAAAATAACGAATAACAGCTGATTCTGAAGCCTGGTGAGGTTTTGCTTCCGATGCCAAAAATGTTTCAGGTTTTTAGAAACAATCTTTATTCTGCATCTGAAGGGTGAATTGGCGCTGCGATCATTTATTGAACAGGATGGAATCATTTCAGATTTAAAGAACTTTAGAAGTTTCTATTCTGAATATGAGTGGATCTTTCCTTTAATGAAATGCTGCAAACTGTTAAGCAATTCACTTTATGCACAAAAACCATGAAAATACCATAGAGGTGAAAACAGGTCACTGTATTCGACCCTGAGAAGAATTACATTTACTTTTCTGTCTCAGAACAGAAATATTCTTGTATAAAGCAAAAATTGCTGCAAGTTAAGCATAAATCAGGCTAATGAAGCCGTTTCATGTCCTTCATTAACCCATTTAACTATTTAGAAGTCCTGGGCTACGATTCTTTCCAACCTTTTACAGCCATTTCCTGCTAATTTTTCCTGAGCAAATTCCAACAACAAAAACGTTGAAGTGACCCAGAGTTTTCTAAGAAAAAGTCATAAGGAGAATAAAAGAATAAAGTCGTAATATTAAGAGAATAAAGTCGTATTTTATAACAACTCTTCCAAGAATCCCTTTCTTCCCTAAAATGAGGAATGTGGAGCATCATGTGAAGTTCTACGTTAGCATCGGTTTGATAAATCAGGAAATCTTTTAGCAGCAGCATCAAACTGGGCAGGATGTCAAAGTGGACTCTGGTTGCTGATTGGTGGAGCTGGTCTGACATCATCTGCTGGGCGGAGCTCCAAGCTTTCTTTCTGAAACGGGTTGTTTTGTCTTGACTTCATTCTTGTTATTTGTATGTTTTTGTTTTTTTTTGTTTTACAGCACTAGTATCTCGTTTGCCTGGCAGCAGGCTAACAGGAAAAGGGGGTATAAGAGAGGGGCAGAGACAGGCGGCCAATGACCACAGACCAGATTTGAACCCGGATTCAAAACCGGGTCGTCCGCGTCAAGGACTAAGGCCTCCGTACATGGGTCATGAGCCATAACCACTGCGCCAACTGCACGCCCTTATCTTGTAATATTAAAACTTTATTCTCCTGATGTTATAACTTTATTCATGTAATATTACAACATTTTTCTCAAAATAAAACATAAAATAAGGTAGAAATATAAAATTACAGCCTAAAAGACTCGTATCCTTTTCCTAAGTTTCTCATCCAAGTGAATGTCAATTTGTAGAAGCAGTTTTATTATCTTATATCAGATCAGAATCAGAATTTATCCTTAAACGTGGCCCTATACTTACTTAGCAACAAAACAGTACATGTTGAAATTCAAGTATGAGTCTTAGCAATAATAAAGTCCCTAATGCCTTATTCGTATGCAATTAGATGATATATGACGAGGTTTTGCAAAACAGAGAACATCTGTATAGACATTCTTTGAGGGTCGGAGTGACTTTGACGCAGACCAGCCCACGTGAATTCCAGTAAGCTTTCCACATGATATTCCCGTGCATGTGCAGTTACGTAATGCGATGTGGAAACTATAAATGCTGCCCTGAATCGACTGAAGGTTGGGGGATAACAGAATTTTTGACAACGCGTTGCTGGATGTATGAAGTGTTTTAGACAGCTGTATGAATTTGGTTTTGTAATTAAATGTGTTCCCCCTCCGGATGATAAAATGGTGTGAATCGTGGCCTTCTTTCTGTCATAAGGGAAATCTACCAATGAGCTTCCATAAATTCACAGCATACTGTCTTCTGCCAGGGTCCTAATTCATGTCAATAAAACCTTTATAATTGCATCTTTTCTGGGTGAATCTCTCCACGTTGAAATATTTGGAATGGTTTTGTCAAGAAAGCTCAGTGTTTCCACCTTGAAGCTTTTACCTCCAGTTCTTTTCCTGATAAGCAATCATTCAGGACAAACTCTTTAAATAACTCTTTATAATGTATTGTATTAAATCACCATGAGACAAGACAACTGATTCTGACAGAAACTCTAATGAGGTCAACTGGGTGAAAGATCCTTCACCTCAAAAGTTATATCAGTAAAAACGAACTTCCTCTCCATGCTTTTAAAGAACTAAGCTTAGCTAGGCCAAGCCCCGCCTCCCAACCTCAGCACTGCTCTTTAAACCAAACACTTTGTCATTGTTGTTTTATTAGTTTTGGGTTACGGTTATATTTGACCTTCTAACTAGATTTTGTTCTTCTTTTTCTGGTTCTGCTGGAGGTTTCTTCTAACCTGACTCCTTCTGAAACCTGAAACCTTCTGTTGAAGTAATTTTGGGAAGGGGCGAAAATACTGGTTAGCTGATTGGCCTATGTTGGTGATAGACGGGCGAAATAAACCAATCAGATCAACGAAGCATATGACGTACTAACAGAGCGACGACGAAGAGGAGCCAATTGATAGATCAAACTCTTGCCGAAACCAGTCGGGAGAAGAGCAAAAACATCCTTTCCTCTGAGAAAAGCCTCCAGAGCAGTGTTTTGCTCTTCTTTCAGTGAAGAAATACTCTGTAATTCCCATAAAACTTGCTCGATAGCCACGCTAACGCTAGCTTCATCGGCTGAAGCCGCCATGTTCTTTAGACTGAACTGTGGCGCTTCTCGTTGCGTCACACCTCAACCCGCCTCAAAGCCAACGCTGATTGGACGTTCGTTTGGTGAACGGCTCCAAATTTTCTTTAAGGGAGAGTCTCCAGACTGATAAGCGAGTGAAACCTTGAAAGCTCGCGAGATCAGGATGGTCTCACCAGGCTAGGTGTCTTCCTGTTAAAAGGGAGTTTTTCCTCTCACTAGAGCTCACTAGAGTGAAACGCGCTGCCTTGGATATTTGGGCAGTTTAGTGCTGAAAGCCCTAAAAAGAAAAGGAGACGACGTATTTGGACAAAGACATGGCTGAGCTAACGTGGCTACTACGGTCTGTCAATTTTACAGAAAGAACTCCATTTCACTCATTGCCCCCCCGCCATGATTCCGAGTTTTCATCTGAAGGGAAGAAGAAGAATCCTTGTTTTCCCACTGAGCGATTCGCCCTTGACCACCTTAAGATGGCCAACTGAATTACAAACATGTTTGATTTTCTCCCGACCTTCTGATTCCTGATGGGGAGGTGGTTGTTAGAGGCTGATCGCCCCTCGTTACCCCCCGTACACCACACCACGCACCATCAGGCTGAAACCTGAAAAGTGTAAAAAAAAAACGCACTGTACGCCGGAATTAAGAGACATGAAACCATGAATACTATGATTATCTGCTCACCTCTAATCGTCTGCTGCTGTATCTGTGTTTTTCTTGTGCTTCGCTTGAACGAAGGTTCCAACCAGCTGGCCTGGTGGAGAGGATCCAAGCTATAGCTCAGAATGTTTCAAACATGGCCGTCAGGATGGAGCAGATACTGCAAACGAGCATGATGCAAGGCAGAGGTACAGTAAAACTCTCATATTTAATGCTTTGTCCTTATTTCTCCTTTCGCAACATGAATACAAAATAATATTGGTCATTTTACAAACTGCATGTTGAGCTAAGCTAAGAAGAAGCTTTGGCTTTAAGGTATTTGAGTAAATATAAGTTCTCTTTAGAAACACCTTCTCACCCTAATAGTGTGAAACTAAAGTGACCTCCCTTTAAAAACACTCCTCTCATTACTCAAAGCCTTTCTGGTGGGATGTGGTGATACTACAGCACTTTGATAACGATTTTTTCTAAACTTAAAAAAATATTTTTTAAAGATTTGCTTGTATTGTTGCCTAAGTATTTTTATTTTTTAGGGACAAAAGTACTGCTGAAGATTCTCAGTCATCCAAAACGTTAAAATCAATCCTCTGGACTTTGTTTCCAAGTTTGAAGACGTTTCTCTTCCATCCAGGAAGATTTTTCAATCAAAATGTCAGAAATAGCGTTTAGTTCCAGGTTTTATCCAGCAGCCCAACAAAGCCTGGTTTTAGTTTAGAAAACATGCAAATCCCCTATCCCCCCCCCCCACAATCTGTGCCAGTACTGTTTACATTTCCTTTTCACTGTTTACATTTCCTTTTAATATATTTATATATATATTTTTTTGTAACTGTTTACATTTCCTTTTCCTTTTAATATATTTATATATTTTTTATTTTTATTTTTATTTCACGGTAGCTGTTATGGAAGTCCCAAATCTCATTGTATCTGTCGCAGAATATAATGACAATAAAGGCTTTTTGACTTGACTTTTTTTTGACAAATAGAAACGGATGAATGGGTCCCCCCCTTTGGAATGGGGGTCGTTTGGCTTCTTTGTTAGCCTGCAATGCCCCATACCTGTCTATGTCTCTGAAAGGAGGGTCGATAAAGGGAATTGTTGGCCTGGCTGAACAGGTGAGGTCTTCTGTTCCCCTGATCTCAATTGTTGCACTGGGAATCCCCAGCAGCAGCTGCCTCAGGCCCGCTCGCCTCTCCAGGGTTTTCCCCTCCTGTTGGTGGCGGCTGGAAGTAGATGTTAGCGTTTTTCAGGTCTGTGCTACAAACTGCAGGCAGCAGGATAATAAAAGCCAACATATTCTGCCGGCAGGTTCCTACATTTGAAGTTAATTTAGGCGTTAATAAACTGTTTCAGAGGAGTGATCATAGCGCTCTGCATCAGCAGCGCTGCGTCTGACTCCCTGCCAGCTCCCAGATCAGCTTCTCTGATTGGTTGATGCGGCGCGTCCAGCAGATAAAGTTACATTTTAACTCCAGCAGCTGCTGCTTCTGAAGCGCCTCAGATGCTCATAAAGCTCTTTTAAAGCTCGTCTTAAAACCCATCTATTTTACTTGGCTTTCAACACCAGTGGGATCTAGTTTTTAAATTGTATGTTTTTGTTTTTTTTAAACTGTTTTTAAATGACTTTTATTATGTTGTGTTCTTAAATTGTACAGCACTTTGTATCAACTGTGGTTGTTTTAAAGTGCTTTATAAATAAAGTTGGTATGGTATGGTTGGTATGCTCATGAGGCGCCGCTGCTCCTGCTGCTTAAAACGCTGCAGGACCTTTTTCTGCACCTTGATGCGCGTCAACTATTGACTTTGCATGGAAACCAGCTGCTCCTGCTGCCTTTGCTGCTTTAGGTCTGAATGTAGCATAAGATCTTATTAGATTACAATCCCTTTCCAACCCTGCACACTACATTTCTAACTGGCAATATTTTTTTCCATGTTTCCTGCTCAGTTTTCCTGCCTTTTCTTCTTTATTCTCTTCTCCTCCTCATCTCTTTCTGACACAAACTTTCTCTGTTCCAGTCATTTCGTTCTCCTCTTGTTTTAGCATCCTTGCTAACTACGCCCGCTGCTTTCTCTTTTGTTCTGTTCTCCTTTTTCATATTGGCTGTTTATTCCCCTCCTTAATGCTCTGAGCCTCCTTCGTCTGCAGGAGGCGTCATGCATCAGGGCAGTTGGTGCGTTATTTCTTGCTTCCTTCTTTTCATATTAGGAGGGGCCGCTGACATCTTCTCCTGCTTTCCTGCTGTACACTGCTGCATTTTATGGAGTAGAAAAATGGCCCACTGCGACCACTGGCTTGTTGGGCCTGGAATAGACCGTCAGCCCATTTAGGGAATGCTCCCCATGGCCCCCCAGCTCTGGATGCAGCGCATGAAGCAGAAATATGGTCTTCTTCTATCTAACATCAAGCTGGGAAATCATTGAATCCTTAAAAGCTGAGTTAGGTCAACATAAAACCTTAAGAAGTTAAATAATGTTATGAAATTATTAAAAACAGTTTTCATACTATGGCTATAGAGTGAAGCCTAAGGCGCTTCCTTTAACTATACAATTCCCAAAAACATCATTTTAAAAAGCCATTAAGAAAAACAGATGATAATGAGAAAGAGTAAAGATGCAGAGGACTGGATTATAGAGCTGAGCACCGATGAAAAGATGTTAGATAATGCAGCTAATGACAGATAAATGTAATGATGAAAGGGGATTTTTTTATTCTTTGCACGGTAGCTAAAGCGTACGTTTAAAATGACCATTATGGGTTCGAGGTCGGAGTTTTTGGTGGCGGACATCAATAGTTTGAGTTGGTAGTCAGGGATTTTGAATGTAGATGTGACTGTTGCCTTTGTTTAATACACTAAGTTACTATTACCTGTCTTGGTATTCTGCATACCGTAATGACTCTAATATAAGACCTGATTGTAAGACCACCCTCTCTTTCCAGGACCAGTTTTTAGGAACAAATTATAACAAAAAAAAAAAAAAAACTTGTTGTTAAAAACAAGATTTCAGATTTTACTGCATGGTAAGTGTTTATTTAATTATTTTTAAGTTTTAAACCTGCAGAGAACATAGAATTGCAATCATTAATATGTGCAGTATCCTAAATATTCATGAAGGGGATTAAACATCGACTCACAGGAAAAGAAATGGGAATGAAAGATACATTCTTAATTAAACCAGTCATCCGGTGTTTATCTTTCTTTACATTTTTTTTATCAAAACCTAAATAACACTGAAACGACTTTACTCCCCTTTGCTGTTTTCCACTGAGAACAATCCTTTATTTAAAATAAATAAGAATTACATCTCGGTTTGTTTCCCCATGCTGGGTGGGAGTAGACAATGAAGACTCTGCTCCTTCCTCTAATCACGGAGGAATTGAAATCCTGCTGGCAGACTTTATTATCATACGGCTCAGTGGCAGTTTATTCATCTCATGTTTTGGCACATGGGAGCGAAGAGAGAAACACGGTTAAAAATGTCCCTCTTCATATAATAGCTGGCAGGGACAGAACTAAAGCCTTTATCTAGTTAAATGGCCACATTTTCATTGTTGCCGTCGTAATGATATTTGCAGACACTCTGCATCTCTGTGTATGTTTTCAGTCACAGGAGAGAAACCCTGAGGAAGAAAAATGTCCCTTTTTCATTAGGCAAATGGAAACAGAGAAAATATGAGACGAAGGAAAGTTGTTGGGGAGCAGAAAGGGAGCTATAGAAAGACTCCGATGATGATTATGAAGCACAGGGAGAAATCCGTTTCTGTGCTTCTGGGTCTCCGTTTTAGTGGCATCAGCTGCAGAGGAGTTAACCATTGAAAATAGTGGTTTAACGCCTGTTTTTCAAACATGGACATCGACCTGCTAACAATCTGCCATTGGCTCACTACTCATTGCCACTAAAAGCCGATTAGATTAGATGAGCTTTATGGATCTCACAGCGGAGAAATTCACTGGTCACATATTGGCATAGTAATTAAAGAAGGTGCAAACAATCAGGAAAAAGGTGCATTAAGAATAAACAATATATATACATTATATCAAGGTAAGCCGATTGTTCCCAAGTTTTAAACACTGGCCAAAAAAAAAAAAAAAAAAAGTTTGTCCAGTGTGTTGTTTACATTTGATCACCACTGCACTTTCAAGAAAATGGAAATGTCATGAGATCTGTCGAAAACTAAATTTTTGTTGTTGTGTACACTCTGTTCATACAAAATGAAAATAAATGTTTTCTAAACCCTGGTTTATGGTCAGAAACCAGGTCACCTGTGTGTGTGACACAGTTTACGCAGAAATGCCCCCAAAATTCCAAAATTGTAGGTAGCGTTGCAGGAGGGAGAGAAAGGAGGCCCCTGATTGGTCGATTCTACACCTGCTCTAACGATGTGTATTTCCTGTTTGGTACCTAATGGCAGAAACTCTGGCTGTAGTGCCGTCCACCACGCCTGGCCCACCTTGGACGCTATCCCAGACACCGGGCTGGACGCTAGTTTGAAGCTCTGTGTGACGGTCTGTTGGTTTGCACCCAAAGCCAGAACACGCAGCGCCACGGACCGGCCCTCTGGGGAATGCTCACGGGTGAACTGTGTGTCGTCCGGATGAGTGGTTGTAGATGGCGAACAAGCTCGTCAACCCGACACACGGACACCCACAATCCCAGCTAGTTCCTGATTGTCCTTCTTGCTTTGTGGTGTGGAATAACATAGCGCAGACCACGCTTCATAAATCAAAAATATCTGCGTCATACTTCCGACAACCTAACGGCGGGAGGATAACCAGCCCTCAAGTCTAAGTCTATTAAACCCGGGAACAATGGGCTTTTAGTGGCAGTTAGAAACAGCTCTCTGAGCTCTCTATCTCCACCACCAGTCACGCCCCCACCCCCGCAGAAAAAAATTTCCTCCTTTTCAGAAACCTAAATGTGTTAACCCTAATTGAACGCCACATATGGACGTCAACACACCACGCCAGTCGCTTCTGATCTTACAGGCAGAAGCGACTGTTTCCATTCCATAAACATGGAGCAGCTCTGGTGATTCAAACAGATAATAGAGAGAAACAATAAAGCACACTGACTACGCCCTGGCTTCTTTCCATGCTGCTCTCCATTGTTTACTTTCCTAATTTCTGTTGCAGTGGTGACATCATCAATGCTAACCCAGCATGATGATGTTACCGGACACGCAGAGGCCAGCGAGGGATTAGACAAGCTTTATTTGCCAGTGGAAAGGGAGCTAAATGCTAAATGAATGTTAGCGTGTCGACCATGTTTGAAAAACTTGCGCTAACCTTTTATTTTCAGTGGGAAAGAGGCTTAAGTAAGCAGACATCATTGTTGGTCCCCAAGAAGTTCAAAAGCAATCCACTGGACTTTGCTTCCAAGTTTCAAGACGTTTCTCTTCCATCCAGGAAACTTTTTCAATTCAAAATGTCAGAAATAGCGTTGAGTTCCAGGATTTATAGAGTGGACCAAAACAAAGCCTAGTTTTGGTTTACAAAACATGCAAATTGAAACGGACGAACGGGTCCACCCCTTTGGAATGGGGGTCGCTTCCTGGATGGGAAGTAAAACGTCTTCAAACTTGAAAACAAAGTCCAGTGGATTGTTTTTTTTTACTTTTTTGGAAAGACTCTGACCTGGATGACCGAGAAACTTCACCAGGAACATTGGTGGTGAAATTATATTCAAAATAACAGTAAATAATGAAACTAGGCATCTAATTCATATTATACTTTACATTTACAATTACAGAGCTAAAAACTGGGCCACCCATAACCTTTCTTTGATTGATCCTTCCAATTGTTGTTTGGTTAATGTATTAATGTATATGATAGATTATTTTGAATTACTGTAACTACATTACCCCACCTCTCGCCCGTAGACAGCTGGAGATAGGCACCACCTCCCCTTGCTACCCTGCTTGGGATTAAGTGTTTTAGAAAATGGATGGATGCATGTTTGAATGATTAGTTTTACTGCAAAACGAATGTTAGCAAAACAAGCTTAACTTAAGAAAGCAATAAACATGAACTGACAAAGCAGAGCAGACAGATAATCCAGAGCCTTCGACCTTAAAGCATCAGGCTTATATTAAAGTCGTAGAGAAATCCTTTAAATGTCAAATCATTCTGGATTAAACATGTATTTAAATGTACTCTATTTATATCAAGAGGACTCCCGAACTTCTGGGAGACTTGGGATTTCTGACTTGTGTAAAGTTGGGCACCACTCGGGAGAATTCCGAACTGCAATTCCGAACTTGGAACAGCCGTTTCCCTACAACTTTAACAGATGTTACGAGTTAATACATGTCTTCCTGCTTGTTTCAGCGCTGAGAGACGGCACAGCGAGTCAGTGTGAAGTACCGAGGGATAGCCGCTTTCCTGAATGCCCCGGAAAAGTAGATGTAAGTTCATAGAATGTTTGCTTTTATTTTTTCCTTATCACGGTGCAGTGTTCAAGCACCCAACCCAAATAAAGACGATGCTTTAGGATGTTATCCTCCTAAGTTTGCTTGGTTTTGCCTTTGAGTACCTCATAACTCTTGAGTTTGGTTGGCTTTATAAGGTAGTTTAAATTGGATTTAGCCGACATGTAATCCAGTAAACTATCTGCAGTCTGTTGACCCTTTAACTGAGGTCCTCTAATGGGCATCAGTTGCCTACAGTTGTGTGTTTCTAAGTTTAAAACCATTTTCCGACGCCCCTTTCTCTCTGTCTGTCCTCCAGTGGATGCGTGCTCGGTGGACATCGGACCCTTGCTACGCCTTCTACGGCGTTGATGGTTCTGACTGTTCCTTCCTGATCTACCTGAGTGAAGTGGAGTGGTTTTGCCCCCCGCTGCCCTGGAGGAACCACACAAACACCCCCACCCAGCACACTCAGCACATAAAAAGCCCTAAAAGACAAGTAAGAAAACTACACCCGAATATCTACGACAAGTCATTTCATGACACAATAATCTGATACAGGCAGCTTTAGATAAGCTTATATATTCAGTTACATTAACCTTCTATGAAGGCTGCCAGCTGATGGTTGATGATTTATAAATCCACAGGAGATTATGAGTAATTTACCATGAGTGTTGCAGCAAACACAGCTGCCTACCAGCTATCATTATGACTTGACTGAGAAATTGAACCTCCATCAAATGGCTAAAAATCCAGCATTCATCTTGTATATCTCTCTACCACATATTTATTCTTTCCACTCATTTGTCTATGAGTTTACCTGGATACACTCTGTGTAAACTCTTTTGTTAGCAATGGCCTCTGTGGAGGACGCTAATGACTGTCTGCTGGACAGCTGTCATGTCAGCAGATTCAACGGGCAAAAACAAAACCTTCCAGTCTCAATCCAACTACCTCAAATCAGTAAGGAAATTAAATCACAGTGCACATATTATGGCATCTGCCGTCGCCATAATAAGTGCTATCCGAATAGTGCTGTCAGTCAGGGCGGAGCTAAGGCCAGGTAGCATGATGCTTCCTTGCATGAGTTCATTTAGCACAGGGACCTCCTGACATCTGTAGCTGCTGCTGGGAACTATCCGGTTGCCCACAGTCCTCTTCATGACAGACCTTATAGGCACGGCCCACCTCAGAGTTTATTGTCATTATAACAGGTCATTTGTGTAACTTTGTCCTTTTTCTAGTCTTCCTTTTCTGGAAGGCTGTTGCCCCAATTTGACCAGCATCATCCATGCTTGATGTGAATATGAATTTCCTGAAAAGTAGACATTCTATTCGGTTAATTTCTATAGCTCCAATTCACAACACATGTTGTCTTAAGACACTTATACAGTTCATCAGATCATCCAGTCAAATTGATTCAAAGTTTTGTATCTAAGGAAAACCAGCTGATTGCATCGACTCATTGACTCTTCAGCAATCCCTCACACTAAGCATGCTTGTAGCGACAGTGGAGAGGAAAAACTCCCTTTGAACAGGAAGAAACCTCCAGCAGAACCAGGCTCAGTGTGAGCGGCCATCTGCTGAGGCCCACTGGGGTTCAAGGAGACAGAAGCAGACATAGAAAAAGAAGCATAGATACAAAAGGCAACTGTCAACCAGCTCTACAGGCGGCCCCGTCCAGGAAACACACAGCCAGGCAGACGAGCTCCGAGCCAGCTCCCATGTCAGAGGATGAAGAGAGCACATCCAGTTAGTCACAGTCAGTTTAGATTTCCAGGTTGATTCTAACCTCAAAGATAATCTACAGTGGAACAAAAAGCAATGTTACATATTTGGGGACTCATAGTATTTAATATGCCCAAAGACCCCTTATGATGAATACAATAACCTGGACACGGCACACCGCGGCCCCACTCTGGAGCCAGACCTTGAGGTGGGGCACGCTGGCGAAAGCCTGGTGGCCAGGCTTTTACCCATGGAGCCTGGCTGGGCACAGCCCAAAGAGGAAACATGGGTTCCCCTTCCAATGGGCTCACCACCTGTAGGAGGGGCCAAAGGGGTGGGTGCAATGTTTGATGGGTGGCAGTCGTGGGCGGGGACCTTGGCGTTCTTACCCTCGGCTAAAGAAGCTGGCTCTTGGGACATGGAATGTCACCTCTCTGGTTAATTCACAAGGTTGAAAAGTTCCAACTAGAGATAGTTGGACTTACCTCGACGCATGGCTCTGGCTCTGGAACCAGTCTCCTTGAAAGGGGCTGGACACTCTTCCACTCTGGAGTTGCCCCTGGTGAGAGGCGCCAAGCAGGACTGGCCATTCTTGTTGCCCCTCATCTTGGTGCCTGTACGTTTGGGTTTACCCTGGTGAACGAGAGGGTTGCCTCCCTCCGCATAAGTGTGGGGAGACGGGTTCTGACTGTTTGCACTTATGCGCCAAACAGCAGTTCAGATTACCCACCCTTTTTGGAGTCTTTAGAGGGGGTACTGGAGAGTGCCCCTCCTGGGGACTCCCTTGTTCTTCTTGAGAACTTCAACGCTCACATGGGCAATGACAGTGAGACCTGGCGAGGCGTAGTTGAACTGAACTCCTGACCTGAACTCAAGTGGTGTTCTGTTGTTGGACTTGTGCTCGTCATGGATTGTCCATAGCAAACACCATGTTCAAGCATAAGGGTGTCCATACGTGCTCTTGGCACCAGGACACCCTAGGCCGTAGTTCAATGATCGACTTTGTTGTTGTTTCATCTGACCTGCGGCCGCATGCCTTGGACACTCGGGTGAAGAGGAGGGCGGAGCTCTATACCGACCACTACCTGGTGGTGAGTTGGTGCCGATGGTTGGGGAGGACGCTGGTCAGAACTGGTAGGCCCAAATGTATTGTGAGGGTTTGCTGAGAACATCTGGCAGAGTCCCCCGTGAGAAGGAGCTTTAACTCCCATCTCCAGCAGAGCTTTGAACATGTTCCAAGCGAGGTGGGGGACATTGAGTCCGAGTGGACCATGTTCCGTGCCTCTATTGTTGAGGCGGCTAGTCGGAGCTGGGGCTGCAAGGTTGTCGGTGCATGTCGGGGCGGCAATCCTCAAACATGCTGGTTGACACCAGCTGCAGAAGGAGTCCTATCAAGCTTTATTGACCTGTGGGACTCCAGAAGTAGCTGATATGTACCGGCAGTCAAAGCGGTAGGTGGCTCGGCTGGTCGCCGAGGCTAAAACTCGGGCGTGGGAAGAGTTCGGAGACGCCATGGAGAAAGACTTCCATACGGCTTTGAAGCAAGTCTGGTCCACAATCCGGCGTCTGAGGAGGGGAAAGCAGTGCAGTACCCCACACTATTTATAGTAGGGCTGGTGTGCTGCTTTCCTCGACTCGGGACGTCGTATGTCGGAGGGCTGAGTACTTCGAAGACCATGGTCTTGAGCTGGAAAAGGGTAGAGTGCCTTCTCCAGGTTCGGGAGGATGCACTGCCCCTAGTGGAGGAGCTTAAGTATCTTGGGGTCTTGGTAACGAACGAGATGAAGATGGAGCGTGAGATCGATAGGCGGATTGTTGCGGCATCTGCTGTGAAGCGGGCGCTGTACCGGTCTGTTGTGGTGAAGAGAAAGCTGAGCCAAAAAACAAAGCTCTCGATTTACCGGTCAATCTACGTTCCTACCCTCATCTATGGTCATGAGCTTTGGGTCATGACCGAAAGATACAAGTGGCTGAAATGAGTTTTTGCCTTGTATTGCTTGGAAACATGCAAATGGAAACCGATGAATGGGTCGTTTGGTTCCATTGTTAGCCTGTAATATCTGAAACCTGTCTATGATTCTGCATTGACCTGGATGACTGAGAATCATCATAAGCAGATTGAGAGCGAAGTTCTGTGTTAGGAACATAAGGAACAATCAGATCTCTGATATCAGATGGAGCTTGGCCATTTAAGGCTTTATATGTGAGGAGGAGGATTTTAAATTCTATTCTGGATTTAAGATTTAAAGTTGAACTTGATTACTGATATAAATTACCAATTGCTAAAGGGATTTTGCCTTACTAGCCTTTATTTGAAATGAGGTTACAGGAAGCTAAGTGGGGGCACTTAGCTTCCTGGGGGTTGAAATTCTTTTTTTGTGTGTTTTTTAACTTTTTGCAGAACCTTTCCTAACTTTATGCTCTGCAAAACCCTTTTGTGAATTTCCTTTTGCCTTTAATTTCCATCCACATATTCCCTCTGGGGTCTGATGTGATTTCCCTTCTAATCATCATTGGCACCTTAAACGGCCTCTTGAAAGGCTGCAAACTACAATAAAAATTGAGCAACACTAGAAAACAATAAAGATGGAAAAGCTGTGTGTCTGCTGGCTGATGCCCAAATGCTAAATGAGCTAATAGTGTCATCACCCACATGCCCACAGTAGAAATCAAACAGGGTCGAGTTCCTTTCCTTTGAGGATGAGCTGCCTGACCTCTTCAACACACGACTGTTAACTCTCTTCTGAGCTGGTTCATTAATAGAGGCTGTATCATCATTAGCCTCGCACCTTTTCTTTCCTCCACATTAACTTTTAGGTCAAAGACCAGATTAGTTCCATCCTTTTTCACGTCTTTATACACAATCACCAAATGTTAGCTGGTTGCAAGGTCATGTAAAACCATCTCTCTTGTTTGCTTTCACACATTACAGCGATCTCACACCTTTAGAATAAAGGATATTAATGTACACCTTTGCCTTCAGACCTGCCTGCATTCTTCATTTTAAAGAGCAAAGTGATTTTAATGCCTTTAACAGATCCTGGTTCACGTAAAGATGATTTAAGGGTAGATTTGTTGACTAATGCCGGGCATACACTCTACCAGTTTTTGCCCCTTTTCTGGCCGATTCTTCAGTCGGTGAAAATGGTTTCAATCAGAGCAAGTTTCAGCCTCATGGTGCGTCGTGTAGTGTCCAGGAGGTTCTAACAAACGCCTCTCGATCAGGAATCGTAAGGTCAGAAGAAAATCAAACATGTTTGAAATTCAGTCGTCTCTCCTGAGGTGTTGGTGGTTAAATCCTGCTGTTGAAGCAGAGATACGAGCCGATTTACCAGAACCTCCAGCACTGCGCATGAGCAAACAAGGGAATTCCTTTTCTTCATCCAGATTGATGAGTCCAACGTGGTTTTTAGACGTACAGTGCGAGAAAATACATCATGAGCTGTGATCGTTATTTATACCTAAAATTAATACGTTTGCGGTGATTTAATCAATGTAGCGTAAATCAGTAAAACAATAAAAATAATAATTTGCATCGCCATTCTCCCCGCTAAATCAATGGGAACTACTAGACACATCTGCAATCAACAACAATTATTGAAGATTTCCAGAGGACTTCACCATTGAAATTCACCAGAGCTATAGTGAAACTGACAATGCCCACGTGCATGGCAGCTGGATGCTGGAATACATCGGGTAAAAGTGGAAAAAAAGAGTTATTCCACCTTTCTGATTCCTGATCCTCCACGGACGGGTTGGTCGTTGGATCGCCAACTTGAAGAGGGAGGATTTGCCATCGAACTTCTGGCCAGAGAAAAAACCCGTAATATGTAGCCGACATTTGGAAGAAGAATGTTTTCAAGATGACTTGGATAATAGCGCGTTGTGACAAACACCAGATACAGCACTGGGACTCGATCAACAGCCGATACCGCACCGTGACAATGTCACTAACCAGTAGGTGGCAGTAGTGTTCTTTGACAAACATGGATGCCTCCAGTAAAGCACATTCACATGAAAATTACTCTGAATTAAAAACATTTATTTATTAAAAGTATGGAATCATTTCTTTAAGAGGTTTGTATTCTGACTATGACCGAACTTCTCCTTTAAAAGCAAAACAGCAAAAAAGCCTTCTTTTTTTTAGAAATGTTTAAGAAATTGACAAAATTTCCATTGTCAGAAAAAAGTTTTTAAAGATAACTTTTTTATTTTTCCCTACCTTTTGGATTATTTTTACTTATATTTTTTGCATTTTTACGGCACTAGTGGCTCGTTTTCTCGATAGTAGGCTGACAGGAAAGGGGGTATGAGGGAGAGACCTTACATTAATGTAATTTCCCCCTGGGTTTATTAAATTATGTCTGATTCTGATGCGGGAAAGGACCACAGGTCGGATTCAAACCCGGGTCAGCTGCGTCAAGGACTAAGGCCTCCATACATGGGCATGCATGCTAACCACTGCCCCACCTGCAGCGCTTTCCCTACCTTTCGAAAGAAAAATGTTGCTTAAAGAAAGAAAAAAAAATGACCATAAAATTACTTTAAACTACAGCTTTGTTGTTTTTTTTTTGTTTGTTTTCTTTGCAGCTTACTTTAGTACAATTAGCATTTTTTTAAAAGCTATTTTCTCAGAAAATACATTTGTAAAGATTCTTTCTGTTGCCCCTTAGGACTTGTTTTGTTACCTAATGAAGAGTTTGAAATAGCACTTCAGTATAAATTATTTTAATTTCAAATGTTTTTAAATTATTAATAGCATCATAGAAGGGAAAACCTGGTGTCTCCTTATCAGCAGCTGACCTATATAGCCACGTTGCGGATTATAGCCTTCAGGGTATTTGACTGCGCCTTGGGAAAGGTTTGGAGGAGAGAAATCTTAACTGTTATACGGGAGGCTAAGTTAGAAATGCATGAAGCTGCATTGAGAATTTTTTCTCCATATTTCTTAGGAAACTAGAGCTGCCAAGTGAACAAGGTCACATTCTCTCTCAACATAAGGAGACTGTCTTTATCTGGCTGCTGAAATGAGAACCATGCTGCCAAATTGGAACAGAATGCTTATTGAATAAAGATTTACCTTCGAAGTCTATGGTTATAATTTCTCTAGCTGTTTTCCTGGAGGACACAGCAGTTTACGGATAGATGGAGAATGAAACATATTCAGGTTCTGTGAAGCTTCCAGTATTTCTCAGTCATCTTCTGTTTATCCAACGGACTCCTTTCCTGGCCTGATCCTGGATCCTTCCTTCCCTGAGTAAAGCAGACCTCTCCTCTCCAACCTGGACCCACAGAGAACGGTTTTATCGGAAATGGACCAGAAAGCCCTTTACTACAGCTGCACAAAAGCAATAAACCAAAGACATCTTCAGAGCCGGCCGGTCTGCGTCTGGACAGAAAAACTTCAGAAAAAAGCCCCCAGTGGAGGACTTTACACAAGCCTCTATGAAAAAACAAACTGCTGATCTCCAATGGAGGATTTTACACGCTGCCATCGCCACAAACAGTCCTGAGCTATCTCTATAGTTGTGCTGCTATAGGCTTAGACTGCTGGAGGACATAGGGACCCCTTTTTCATCATTCTGCTTCATTCTATCTCTATTCTCCCACTCTGCAGAATCTGTTAGTTCAATCTCTAACGTTCTGCTCTATCTGCTTTTTCTCATAGTAGCTTCATCTGGTCTGTTCCTGTTTGGCTGTGACTCCATCCTGGAGAGAAATATCAGCTGTGCTGCTGCCATCAACACCTTTGTTTCTAGATGTTGGAGCTTGGCCTGTTTTCCACTGTAGTCCTGTTTCTCTGACTGTGACTAACTGGATGTGCTCTCTTAATCCTCTGACATGTCCGGATGTTTCCAATGTTAGTTCACATGATCAACTGACATGCTCAGTTTTGGCGTCATTGATATGCTAAGTAACATGGAGTTTTGTTTTTCCAGAACCACATCTAAAAAAGCAGAAGCAGCGTTTTACAACAATTTTACATTTAAAATAGGAAAACACAATTGCATTGTCTTATTTGAAGTTTATCTAAATATCTTATTTTAAGAGTAAAAATACTAATTCCATTGGCAAACTATCTCATTTACCTACTCAAATTAACGCTAAAACATTTTCACTTATTTATAGATTGTTTTCCAGTGTAGTCCTGTTTCTCTGACTGTGACTAACTGGATGTGCTCTCTTCATCCTCTGACATGGGAGCTGGCTCGGAGCTCGTCTGCCTGGCCGTGTGTTTCCTGGACGGGGCCGCCTGTGGAGCTGGTTGACAGTTGCTGTTTGTATCTATGCTTCTTTTTCTACGTCTGCTTCTGTCTCCTTGAACCCCAGTGGGCCTCAGCAGATGGCCGCTCACACTGAGCCTGGTTCTGCTGGAGGTTTCTTCATGTTCAAAGGGAGTTTTTCCTCTCCACTGTCGCTACAAGCATGCTTAGTGTGAGGGATTGCTGAAGAGTCAATGAGTCGATGCAATCAGCTGGTTTTCCTTAGATAGAAAACTTTGAATCAATCTGACTGGATGATCTGGTGAACTGGAAAGTGACCTGAGATGACATGATGTGAATTGGAGCTATAGAAATAAACTGAATTGAATTAAATTATTCGGGGGTTTTTTGCACCAGTGTCCTTTCTGCAGTCTGTCTGAAAAAGTGTTACAGGTTTTTTTGGAAAGCACAAGACTAAAGACAATTTTTAGCCTTTTAATTAGTGTTTTGAGTCTTTTTGGCTCTTTTTATAGGAAGTTTGCCAGAACAGGAAAAATAAACCAAAGACCTGACTTTTATTTTCTTTAATGAGTGAAGCAAAGATGGCCGTTTATTGTCCTGCAGTAACAGGCTGCAGGAGGGAGCTCACCTTGATGCCGTGGCTCTGAGGAAGGTTAAAACCAGAATAAGGCTGGAGTTTAACTTCCACAGAGACACAGAACATGGAGGATTTATGCAGCCGTGATGTTTTAATAACAGTTTTTGTTCTACATCAGATGATGGACAACTATAATTTAACGAGCTCCTCATTTAATCATTTTTAACTGACACTTATTTTACATCAATAATTGATTCTATCGTTTGAATTGTGTAAATAAAGTGTTGTTAGTATCCTCTTAAAAAAACGTCCTCTGTTTATTTTCTTCTTCGTCTTCCAGGCTGCCTTCCGTACCGACCTCTCTGTTCTGCTGGATCAGGTCGGCGGTGGAAAAGAGTCTCTGAGCTTCATGAAGCGCCGGATCCGACGGCTCGCACCTCAGTGGGCAACGGCCGCCAACCGCCTAGATGTCAAACTCGGGCAACGTTGGAGGGACCAGAAGAGAGTGAGTTTTTAAATGAGAAGGTCACGTACAGCGGGACGGATTACACTGAACACTGTTAGCCATGGGTGTCTACTCCACGCCTGCTGTTCTGTATGTTTTAGATCTATAACCTGAGGGTCTTAGGAGCTAATTCTGCCTGAATTTCCTTATTTTAATTAAAGCAAGTTCAGCTCCCAAACTATAAATTGGAAATACAATTGTTAGTATTTTTGTGACACAAAGGCATTGAGGAATATTTTTCAGGTGGAACCAATATTTTAATGATTTATAGGTGATTATAAAAAGAAAAAATGAAAAATATTTAGCCTCCCCAAATTTATTTAGATTACATTAGAGATTAGATGAGCTTTATTGATCTCACAGCGGAGAATTTCACTCGTCACATATTGGCATAGAAGTCAAAGAAGGTGCAAACAAGGAGGAAAAAGGTGCATTAAGAATAAACAATAAACAATATATATATATATACAGTATATCAAGGTAAATAAGAATTAAGGTGCAGGTGTACCTGTATCGCGCACAATGAAAAACAAAATAAAAATAAGAAATAAAGAAATAAGAGATAATTTCCAAAATAAACTCTGCAAAACACCCATAAAGCCCATTAGAAACTCTGGATGAACCTCAGACTTTATAGATCCACATCTAGACTAGAACTCAAGCTAATCTGGACTGAATAAGATAAAGCATGTTTTTGTTCCACAAAGGTTTTAATGGGCAGGGGGCTGATTTTAGCACAGTGGTGCCAAAAGTGGCCAAATTATGCAAAAATGCATTATTTCCACTCATAAAAAGGAATCTGGTCAGACAAATATGCTGATTTCCATCATTGGAGACCTTCTGCATGAGGCGAAGCCTTTGCTGCTCAGATTTAGTCGTTTAATCATTGAAATTTACCAATAAAATCACCAAACTGGATAGAAAATAAGAATAACAGAGCAGCTTATGGAACGCATGAAGGTTACATCACCTTACATGGTCCCACAATGACCTCTGACCCCTCCTTGGAAAGGTCTGAGCCTCTAGTTTCTAATGATGGCGGCCATTAGGGGGCGGGGCTAACCATGAATAGCTGCTGTTGCATTACTCCCGCAGAGTCACACAAGTCAGGTGGAATTTTAAATCTCATTTGATTTGTTTACACAGCCATAAAACAAGTATTTGTGAAAAATAAATTTGAAACATGCTTTAGAAATTTTAAAGCCTCATTTGAAAGGCGTGTGGATGAAACACCATGTGACTCTGTTTGGGCCTTTTCTATAAATAGATAAACATGAGCTGGTGTCGGTTGGGCCCGGTGCCGGGGCCGCTGCGATTACGGGATTAATTCAGCACCTTGTTTCCATGGATGGCTGATTAACAGATTTTGCTGGACAGTAATAATCTGAATCAGGGAAAAAATACTGAAACATGTAGAACTCTGAGGACATGTCTGCCAATCAACACAGAACATTAAAATGCATTTCAATTTAATTCAGTTTATTTCTATAGCTCCAATTCACATCATGTCATCTCAGGTCACTTTCCAGAGACGATTCAACCAGATTTTCCAGTCAGATCGACACACTATGACTGTGGCGCTATCTTCTTTAATCATACGACAGGTTGATATACAATTCCTGCTACATGACATGACATCATCATCAGAAATGAGATCATTTAACTGGTGTAAAAACCTAACAAGTTACCTTGTATTGATTTACTTTAATCACAGCTACTACCAGAGATGGGAAGTAACAAAGTACAAATACTTCGTCACTGTATTTTTCTGATATTTTTACTTTACTTTACTACTTATTTTTACGGCGACTTTTTACTTCTACTCCTTACATTTTTACACAAATATCTGTACTTTCTATCCTTACATTTTAAAGAATTGTCTCGTTACTTTAGTTTTGAATCATTTCAATGGAGTTACCGTTATTATTTTTCACGTCATCAATACCAAATTCAATCTAATTGGATGGGAATCTACGTTGCATTTGACGCACCGCTACAAGATGAATGGACAGATTCGGCGGTATTCATTGGCGGCAAATCATTGCAGCTTGGTGGCGGTGGCGTTAGCATAGTAGCATGGACGACGAGATGATTGAAAATGAACACAACGGGGATCTAGTCCTATTGGCAGACATCCATTTAAAATGTAGGCAACGGCATGAAAAAAGTGGTTTCTACTTTTACTTTTATACTTTAAGTAAATTTACAAGCCTGTACTTTGTTACTTTTACTTGAGTAAAGAGGTTTAATCAGTACTTCCACTTTTACCAGATTATTTTTTAACACAAGTATCTGTACTTTTACTCAAGTACGGAAAGTGAGTACTTTTGCCATCTCTGGCTACCAAATGTTTCCATAAAACCAGACTGCAGCTTCTAGAAGGATTTTGGACATTTCAATTCAGTTTATTTCTATAGCTCCAATTCATATCATGTCATCTCAGGTCACTTTCCAGTTCACCAGATCATCAAGTTTTCTATCTAAGGAAAACCAGGCACCACTGTGCTAAAATCAGCAAACTGCTTAATAAAACCTTTGTGGAACAAACATGCTTTATCTTATTCAGTCCAGATTAGCTTGAGTTCTAGTCTAGATGTGGATCTATAAAGTCTGAGGTTCATCCAGAGTTTCTAATGGGCTTTATGGGGTTTTAAAGTGTTTATTTTAGAGGCAAGGCTAAATATTTTTCTTTTTTTTTTGTTTGTATAATCACCTATAAATCAGAAATAGTGACATTTAAAATAGTGTTTCCACCTGAAAAATATTCCTCAATGCTTTTCTGTCACACAAATGCAAACAATTGTATTTCCAATTTATACTTTGGGAGCTGAACTTACTAGAATTAGCTCCTAAGATCCTCTGGGCTTAATGGGTTAAAGGTTATGTTGCTGTTGAACTGATATCCTCTGCAGTATCTGACTGTGAAACTGATTTTATTCGGCTCTCTGTGTTGAATGGAGCTGTCTTCTACATTCTGGTAGCTATTTATGCCAAAGACACAAAGTGAGAGTAAAAGGTACAGTCAGCGTGAGAATGAATCAGAGAAGAATGGGAAGGCGGCGGCAGGTAGGATGATGATGAATGACTTGGATCATGGCGTGGCACAGTCAAGCATGTTCCAGAGCTACAGGGAGAAGAATGAGACATGAAAGGCTGCAGAGCCGAGGGATGGATGGGGCTGTGGAGTATGGATTATGAGAGGATTGATGAGGGACTCGTATGGCGCTTCGATGAGAAAAAAGCTATTCCAGGGAGACTTTGGGACTCTAGATTTGAGAGAAGGTTTAAAATATATAGTAAAAGAAGAAATGTAGCATCTTACTGGTTGCTCACTGCTGCAAAGCTCAGGGGAAAAAAACTCCTAATATTTTAGTAGAGGCGTTACTGATGACTTAATAAATGCAAGAAGGCAGAATGAGCTCAAAGCCTGCTGCTCCTCTATCAAATATTTCCCTCTGCCCCCTTTCTAGAATAAGTCTACGAGGTTGGAACGGCCCTCAGTCAGCGTGATGGATGTTCTGCTGTGTGGGGGCTGCAGTGAGAGGATTTATTCCCCTGAACACGGCTTCTTGGATTCAGCCTCCTATATGTGCTAAAGTGCTGCTTGTACGTTCATATCCACACATCTGTTGATCCGTGTAATGCTGCCTCACCCAACGGAGATTTACATTTCAGTAACGTCTTTCAACACAGCATTTAGACATCTGAAGAAATGAAAGGAATGAAAACAAGACTTAACATCTATAACTCTTCAAAGGGTTGGGGGGGGGGCGTTCCCATGACTGGCCAGGATGCCAAAATAACACCTACAACTTATTAAGGAGGTTTAAAAAGAACCAATAGAAACACACAGACTGCTGCAGGCCTCAGTTAAGGAAACTGTTCATGATTCAACAATGAAAAAGAGGCGGGATTAGAATGACATCACTGGACAGAACACTTAGACTGACAGTTCACCAGATCATCCAGTCAGATTGATCCAAAGTTTTCTATCTAAGGAAAACCAGCTGATTGCATCGACTCATTGACTCTTCAGCAATCCCTCACACTAAGCATGCTTGTAGCGACAGTGGGGAGGAAAAACTCCCTTTGAACAGGAAGAAACCTCCAGCAGAACCAGGCTCAGTGTGAGCGGCCATCTGCTGAGGCCCACTGGGGTTCAAGGAGACAGAAGCAGACATAGAAAAAGAAGCATAGATACAAAAGGCAACTGTCAACCAGCTCCACAGGCGGCCCCGTCCAGGAAACACACAGCCAGGCAGACGAGCTCCGAGCCAGCTCCCATGTCAGAGGATGAAGAGAGCACATCCAGTTAGTCACAGTCAGAGAAACAGGACTACACTGGAAAACAGGCCAAGCTCCAACATCTAGAAACAAATGTGTTGATGGCAGCAGCACAGCTGATATTTCTCTCCAGGATGGAGTCACAGCCAAACAGGAACAGACCAGATGAAGCTACTATGAGAAAAAGCAGAGAGAGCAGAACGTTAGAGATTGAACTAACAGATTCTGCAGAGTGGGAGAATAGAGATAGAATGAAGCAGAATGATGAAAAAGGGGTCCCTATGTCCTCCAGCAGATCCTATAGCAGCAGAACTATAGAGATAGATCAGGATAACCTGAGCCACTCTAACTAGAAGCTTTATCAAAAAGGAAAGTTTTAAGCCTAGCCTTAAAGTAGACAGGGTGTCTGCCTCACGGACTAAAACTGGTAGTTGGTTCCACAGGAGAGGAGCCTGATAACTAAAAGATCTGCCTCCCATTCTACTTTTAGAAATTCTAGGAACCACTAGTAAACCTGCAGATTGAGAGCGAAGTGCTCTGTTAGGAACATAAGGAACAATCAGATCTCTGATATAAGATGGAGCTTGGCCATTTAAGGCTTTATATGTGAGAAGGAGGATTTTAAATTCTATTCTGGATTTAACAGGAAGCCAATGAAGAGAAGCCAGGATAGGAGAGATATGATCTCTCTTTTTCATTTTCATCAGAACTCTGGC